TTCAATAATACACCGCTAAGAATATTATAATTGATTGTTCCTTTTAAATCGGTGTCATAAAATTTACCAATAAAACATATTCATAATCCGCATATTTCATAACAACCACCGGCAATTGATTATGAAACGACTGTCGATAGTCGAGTGAGATGAAATTAACTACCATCGCAATGAGCCACACCGGGACCTACATTGCTATAATTACGCTTACTCTCGCCTCTCCCCCCTCCCCCGCCCGTCCGTCCTTCTCCACGATCGCGAGAAGAGACTAAAGATCAATTAGGTGCACTGCCCCTTTAAAAAGCCCGGGATTAATAATTAAGTGCAACGGTATGTAAATGACACTATATTCTCGGGCGTTAATTGACGTTGCGCACGAAACTCGGTAATTGTACGGCGAATGCGCGTGGGTGTCAATCCGAGAGCCCGGATATTATCCTGCCACGACGATATTGTGCGTAGTTCGACGTCTGCTTCCGCTTGCGATTATAAGCACCGAGTCCTGCTCCCTGCTTGCAAAATAATTTCAGACTCCCAGCCATCCTGGACTACGATCATCCACCAGCCTAGCCCTGGGTTCAACCAGCACTAATTACGACCTCCTCGGAATCACGAGCGAGTTCGCCCCGTCCTACGTAACGTGGGAGCAGCGATGCTTTTGCCCTTAATACTTTACGTTTACGATCGCAAAGTTCGAGACTTCGAGACGATCCGGCCATCCACGTTGCCGCTATGCCGGTCAGTTTATATCACCCCACAAGTATTATTAATATCTGCTTGCTGATTCGAAGAAGGACCAAAAGGATTAAATAGAACAGTAGAAGGACTGGTGTTGTAACGGGAGCGGGACTGTCTCCGTCAACGGTTAGCCGTTAACGGTTATTTTCAATAAAAGACGTTAGATTGTCAGACTACCGTACGAGTCTACGTATATTGCGCATGAATTCCGCGTCGCTTACAATAGCTTACATTTACAAGTGCATTACAACATAATTATTTCGAATATGTGTTCTAGATCCTTCCTAGAGATGAGTTCGTAATAGTTCGCGATGACCAGTGAAGCATTATAAATTTAAAATTCCTTTAATGCGTTAGCGTAAATTTAGGAGTTAAATTGGCGACGTAGTCGTGCTCACTTTAAATTCATGCATTTATCCTTTTTTCGCATCGACTGTCTTCTAGTCGCTACGTAAGGTAACTTTATGTAAAGGCGCTTTCTTCTAAGCAAGCGCCCTTTCTTATACCATTTATTTCACGAGATTTTACTCTTTCAAGGGTTCGATTGGGAGAAATACGCTCGTGGATTTCTGAGGTTAGGTTAATAGATTCGTAATCTTATTAAGTTTATGTATTATTAAAATATGATTTTGTTTCAAATTTTGTAACTCAATATTTTTCTAAGAAATACGCCTTCTCCCATTAAAGGAGATAAGAATTGATTTTTAGATTTTTGCTTTTTTCTGTGAACTTACGCAAATTTCTTCAAGTTATTCGAATTTCAAATATGTGCTCTTTGAAAAGCGTACACTTACTTGGACAATTTAAATGGAATTTTCGTAAAAAAAAAATATTCTAATCTACAAATTAGTTATTTGTAATAATTTAAATTTATAAACTTAACTTTAACGATAATACCTCCGGCCTATGACTACTGATTTTATACAATTTAGTTTTTATTTTATCAATAATTCAATAATTCCTCCAATAGCTAATATTTTATTATTTCAAATTAATTTCACCAAAACTTCATTCGCTTCATTCCTTAGTACCAGGAATCCGATGTACCTAGAAAATGTTTTCCAATTTTCTACCATCAGCGAATTAATTTCAATTAAACGTAATAATCACGAACGACATTATAAAATTGCAGACAAACTTTATAATAGTAAATTAAGAATAATACTTGTTATGCGCTTCGTAAAAATAAGTAAAGATTTTACAGATTTCTTAAAGTAAATTAATAATATAAGTGTGTTTTCAATTTCAAGTATTTACAATTTAAGGAAACAAAAAAAAAAAAAAAAAAAAAAAAAAAAAAAAAAAAAAAAACATCTAATGGAGGTATACTTTGATGGTTTTCCATTAAGGGAACGAGTATGTGACGATTGCACTTGTTTGTTAATTTTGAAAAAGTCGATCCATTTAGTCAAAAATTTGAGATCAGTACACACGTAAACAAGGTAAAGTAACGTAAAAGTGCTTTGTACAAATTTTATTATTTAAATCGAAGTGACACATTCTCAATGGAGGATCTTTCTCCTTATGAGGCAATACAATCAATAAAACAGATCTGTTTGAGTGACACAAGCGAGCGATACAAGAGAAACGAGAAAGAGAAAGAGAAAGAGAGAGAGAGAGAGAGAGAGAGAGAGAGAGAAGTACGAGTGAGTTTTGCACAAAGGGACGGTAAATTGAGCGAACAGAAATCGGAGCTACGATTCAATAAAAGGAGAGAGAAATCTTGTTAATGTAATTGGCTTTCTCGCGAAATCTAGGTCATTAGTTTTTATAGGGAAATTTCATAAAGGTACATTATAAAATTGAATTCAGTAAAGGATGAAGGGAAAATTACTTCAGTTTTCATAATCTGGGTCAAAATAACGGAATAGCAAATGTTTTTTTTTTCTATTTTTATATATATACATAAGGGTTTTCGTGAAAATTTATGAAAATAAGTACACACGAATTAGATGATAAATATTTACTTGCATATAAAAGGAGCGGATGGCATCATAAAAATTATTGAAATGATTCGCTCGAGCCATACTGGAGAAAATATGGACACTTATATTTAATGAATTTCTTTATAATAATAAATGTACATATTATCGAAGCTCACCTTAACCATAAAAATTTACTGCATACACATTCTTTATCAATTTCCACATAATATTCATTCAATCTATAAAAAGCTGCCACACAAGCCGGAGTGTGTCGTTTTCCGGTATTACGGGAAAGTTCGTATTGTGCTTGATATAAATACAAAAGCCGAGTCGAGGAATTTGTTTCAACAAAGCTACCCACGCTGCAACAAATGAAATAACAACGGCGATGACAATAACAACAATAACAATAACAACAGCAACGACAACAACGACAACAACGACGACAACAACAACGACAACAACGACAAAAACAATAGTAACATCAACAACGCGAATCGATAGAAAGCGGAGAGGCAAGAACAGAATGTTTTTAAGAATAAAGGGTTTGCTTGAAGATAGAAAGGTGCCGCCGCCGCCGCCGCCGCCGCACACGTCAATAGTCCAGTAAAACATCATGCGAAGCAATTTTCTACTCGTCGATATATTTAAAACGAACAAACTTGACCCACATATAGAAAAACGCTCGGCACTCTCGTCTATCTTTCCTTTTGTATTATCATTTGTAAAAAGTCCCGAGGCAACTGCACTCGAAACGTCATTTGTGTTCGCCATTACACTTTTTTCGCACAACCAACGATCTCGCGCGGTTGACAATTTTTCACTGTAGCCTCGTGGCTCGGTGGCTCGAGGGGTGAAAGAAGGCGAAAAAGGGCGCGGGTGAGGGGGAAATAGTATCAAAGTCGTCCATTTAGACAAAAGTGAGATGCATTGTCGAAGACTACACGTGTTCGCGATCACCGACGTAGAAGCATTTTCTCCACTATATTTGTCGTCAGTGAAAATATTCCTCTACTATTTTGGATAATGGACAATTTTTCATTTTCATTTCGGGTTATTTTTTTAAAACTTCGAATACACGATTTTTTCGATTTTTCATTTTCACGAATACTCGTGGATAAAGAAACAAAAATCGTTCACTTTACGAAAATGAAAATGATTTTTGAAAAAATATTATTTTCTTCGAGCAATATAATCGTAGAGAGGAATAATTACAACTTAATGACCAAACTTAAAGGAGTTAGTAGGAGGCAAAGCGTATGGGGCGGATGAAAAAAAAAAAAAAAAAATAAATAAAATTGAATATTAACGCTAATAGTTAATTAGGCTACGAATTGCCATTGTAGCCGTATAAAGTGAATGTACATGTGGACGTAAAAATGTCAATTGCAATTATAATATACAATTATATCGCATGCAATGAAATGCGAAGGCAGAACTAACAACTTGGTCGAACTTGGAGTCATAAAGTTTTTATGCTTGAATGAAAGGCGAAGGATATTCATAATTAACGAATTTAGCCGACCTCATTATATATTTTCGGCATAAGATGAAGCGCATTAGGAAAAATGATAATGACGAGTCCTCCTCCTCCTCCTCCTCCTCCTCCTTTGTACCTGTGGCATCGAAAGATTCTGCGAGTTAGCAGGCAATTAAAAGTGGGATGACAGCTTTGACGATATGCCCAAGCCACATTACCTTTTTCTTCGTCGATACTCATGCCTTAGATTATTTCTATTCCCTTCTATGTAGTCGTATGTGAGGCAATGTATATAGCGCCTATAATTGTACATGTGGCATGATGTATTAATTAAAACTAGGTTACTTTGTCTTATTTATATTTCACTCTGCAGACACGTTTTAGCTCGTGGCAGGAATTTATGTGCATAGCAAAGCCGACGATGGGCATTATTTCGAAGAATTATTATTAATAAGATAAGTCGATGCGAAATGGCCGCTTCGTCATTAACGTCATTCGTGATTTGTATAAATATCAAAGGGGTCTTCTTCTCTCGCAAGATGCCATCATTTTAATGACGTACTTGCAAAGTCTTGCGAACAAAATGTACATTATACGCGATGGTATGTAGACAATATAAAGATTCATATGATAAGTAATGTAAAATGCATAGAAAATGAAAAATTAACAATGCTTTTATAGTTTAAATTTGGTATGATATTTCAGAGACGCCATCGTGCCGGCTCCCATTAAAATCTTAATGTAATATAAAATATAAATTCACTTAATACTAAAATACTTCGGATAAGCAAAACGTTCGATAAAATCAGGAGCTCTTGTTTTAAAAATTGAATAGATTCTTATTTTGTAATACTCACCCTGCATGGAGGAACATGTAAAAGACGAACCTCCAGATTTCGCGTCTTTTGTCTGGTCGGTAGATGAAGATGCTGTCGATGGGAACCGGTCCTGAAGGGTTGACTTCGCCCTTAGCGACAGTGTAGTAGGTGAAAAAGCCCAACTGCAACGAGAGGGAAAAAAGAAGGAAAAATTAACAAGGCTTCGCGGTGGGGAGAGCAAAAGCTTTTTCAACATAATGGAAAATGTCGGATCGGCGGGTCGACTGCATTGCCTGCAATTCTCCCATAAAACTAAATGTAAAATATCGTTGAGTTTATAGTCAAACAATAATAGCAAAACCTGCAATTTCCTACGATTAATAATAAATACGCACAACTGCCAATTCAATTAATCGCTCACCCATTAAACATAATTATTAAATAATTGATTTCGTAGTAAATTAAAAAAAAAAAAAAAAAAAAAAAAAAATATATATATATATATATATATATATATATATATATAAATAAAATTTAGTCCGAGTCCTTTTTTTTTCTTTCTTTTTTTTCTTTTTTTTCTTTCTTTTTTTTCTTTTTTTTCTCCTCTTGTACAATGTTTATGAATTATTTATTTGTATACTGTGTGCTTTCTTAAAAGACACACTCGTGCATTATTATAATGTGACATATTGCAATGCATATTGGTCCTGTCGTGTGTCGTTCGTTCGTAGATAGAAAAGTGCGCGGGTTAAAGTAATCGCCAACATTGAATATAAAATATTTTCGAAACCGAATTAAAAAGAAAAAAAAACATCAGAAATTACCCACGCACTTTCAAACGCTAACAATAATAATAATAATAATAATAATAACAATAATAATAATGCATGCTATAATAAAGAGAATGGAGCAACATTGGCAATGGATCGACATGTTCAATGTCGACGAGCGAGTGTCATTTACTTCGGGCGCATAATAAATACAGCGACCGGGGGAGCTTACCAAGTGCATTGATATGGGCGCGGTTGATATGAGTGCGAGAGACGGCGAACAAAGAGAGAGTCCGTATATCAATGGATGCATATGGTAGGTCGATACGCGGCGACAGAGACAGGACAGCAATTGAGAACAACCAAAGCACACGAGAAACTTGTTTAACAGTGATTAATAAATAAAATAAAGGGTCCAATGTGAGGTGGGTCGGACAAACGAAATTTCACACTCTCTCACGATGGTGTTTGCAAGGCTTCGATAAAGACGTTCTTCGTGATCCTTTGACTATCGGCCCTTCCTTTACGACTTCATAAATCTATTGTTAAAAATTTTAGTTCTTAAATATATTCATATATTTTCGAGCATTAGATTAGATTCGGTCATTTTATAGGGAAATATTGGAAATATAATCAGCGCGATCATGAATCCGTGATGTGTGGATTTTATGTTGGGAGGTCAATAAAAACGGACTTGGACTCTGGTTAATAAACAAACGCTTCTATTACCAATCGTATAATTCCGTTTATTCTTCGTGCCCTTCGCTCAATTCTGGACATTCACGCACACTATTTCACCGGCATATCGAGGACTAGCAATGTTGGTCGATGTTGGTCGAGTGCAATACCATCGGGAATTTAGGAAAGTTTTTCAGTGATGATTTTGGGAGTGTAGAAAGATGACTCAAATGTTTTTTATAGGGGAAAAAAAAACAAAACAAAAAACAAAAAAAACAAAACAAAACAAAAAACAAAAAAAAAAAAAACGCTTAAGTTTGACTTTCTTAAAGCAGACTATTTTTACGGACTAAGTTTACTTGCATGTTAGCAATTTTTTTTTTCTTCCCCCACGCCACAGATAATACCCTACGCAAATATGGAAGCAGTTTACCAAATGTATAGAATGTAGAGGAGGGCGACACGTTAAAAGCACATGCTACATATGAAAAGGAAAATTGAAGAAACGGGGAGAAAATTTATCATCTATTGAAATGACGAATTTTTATTAATAATATCATTTGCTTTTCTCATGAATAATATGTTATTTTTACGCGCAATGCTGCTTGCTTCATTATTGCCATTAAATACGATAATAAACATTAATTCTTTATGAATTTAGAGCACGGGATATTACGATTTTTTAAGAAGAATTACGATATTTACGGCACAAATGCATTTTGATTATTTTAACTCTGATTTATACTTCTGCTCCATTGTTTATATCATTTGGAATGCATTTGATGAAAAGAAATTTCCCAGGGCCCGAAAGTTGAATAAAGCGAAGCTACGTGAATACTAAAAGTCATTCAAGAAATTTAAAACATGCGAGTTACATTCGCTTTCGGTATCATTCGCAATTTAAAGCTTGAAATTCGTTCATTATTATCTTATTTTCTTACGCACACTCGCATGTACATACATACGTCTGCACACAGACATTATGGAAATATACAGATAGATATACAAAAGATTATATAATCTGCAATATTTTATGAAAGCAACTGCAACTGAATCAATAATCATAATGAAAATTAGTATTATTTATCCTAACAAATATTACGTATACACTTGCAGCCATATTATATTAGCTTCTTTTAAAAAAAAAATTTTCAACATACTAAATAGATTTAGATTTTATTACTTTTTCTCGTGTCGTATAAAATTGCACGTAACGATATTTTCATCCAAATGCATAGAACGAAAATTAATTATTAAGAATTCTGTATTCCCTAATTGCTAATGCATAATAATATCAAATAAATAACATTCAAAAATACATAATTAATTCATTAATTAGCAGCGAATTTCGGCATCTTAAGTCTTAAATAAATATTCAGTCGTTTATAACAATTATCTTTTATTCTAACCTCAATGTATCTTAAATTTACATTTATTAAACTGTTCAATAATAACGATAAATCTCATGCAAAACTTTCCAATATAATCCAAAGGTTTAACTTCCACTACAATTTTTGAACTCATTTAAAGTTCGGAAAATCATAAAAATTAAATGGCTAATACATCAAATCGGCGGAGTAGGGGAGGGGGGGGAGAGAGAAAAAAAAAGAAGAAAAAAAGAGGAAAAAAAAGAGGAAAAAAAAGAAAAGAAAAAAAAGAGAAGAAAAAAAAGAGGAAAAAAAAGAGAAGAAAACCAGTAATTTGAGGGTGTAAATGGCCGAAATCCTTTATTACGGATTGCCAATAAATAGTAAGTGAATGAGCGGGAATAATGATCTATCTTGGCAAACTATGGATCCGTCCAACGAACGTCCCATTACAATTTCTCTTTCCGCTACCCTTTAAAACATCCCTCGTAATTTTTACATCACGTTGTCATTCGCTTTTGTTCGTCTCTCATTTCCCCAGCGCAAATGCAATGGACCGATGGAACAACATTATTACAATCAATATGCAATGAAAATGCAAGGTGTCCTAGCCGCTTTGAATATGCTATTTAAACGGGGTCCTCCTGTCAACTTGCCCCCGGCACACCAATATTATTACGTTAATGCATAATAATCGTGCACGCGAAGCCAGCGACGATTAATCGATGTTAATCGAGTGCGACTGATCAGTCAGGGGCCATAATGGACCCTTTAGTCGACATCGATAAGTAATTTCGAGGCTCGTTTGTTCTTCGATAGAACTCGGGCTCGCTAATCAAGCGAATAACTTTGGCATTTTCAGGTGCAAATATTCCAAGGCTTATTCTGCTCCGCATCTGCGCAGCCTAACAAATTCATTGTACAATCTGTTAAGAAAAAGGCAAAAATAGGGTGCCCGGTGTTAGGTAGCCCAGCTGGAAAACTGTCGAATCGATTGGATATTTTTGATTACGTAATCGTTATTATGCTGCATACAATATATTCTATAGAGATAATCATAATATTAGGGAATAATATTTTTCTCAGCCCAGCAGAGTATGAATCTTTTCAAAAACAAATTGCCTATTAATTAGCCATCCAAGCAGCCAATACATTTGAGGAAATCGTCAAGGGTTAGAATGGCGAGGAAAAGCGCGAAAGGGGAACAAGGATAAATAAAAAAGGAGACAAGGGTCGAGGAATGGTCGGGCCGATTAACGCGACCGTGACTCACCGTTAAGAGTACGAGGGAATGTAATCGTGATGTAGAAAAATTGTTGAAATCAATAGCTCGACACTTGGCACACATATCTCCCGCGGGATTCACCGCCCGCCCCAACCACCACATCTTCTCAGATGCGAATCGGCTGGTGGGAAAGAAAGTATCTCGCCGCTGTGGCTGTGTACTACTGTGACCGGAGTCCAGTCGTTTTCGGCCAATTGAATTTGAAAAATCGCGTGCTCACCGGCACCCGTGGCGATAGTAGTAGTGCTAGCAGTGATAGTGGTAGTGGTAGTGGTAGTGGTAGTGGTAGTAGTGGTAGGGTAGTGGTGGTGGCGAAAGTGATAGTGGTAGTCGTCGTGATAATGATAATGATAATGATAGTGATAAAGGTAGTGGTAGTGGTAGTGGTAGTGGTAGTAGTGGTAGGGTAGTGGTGGTGGTGGTGGCGAAAGTGATAGTGGTAGTCGTCGTGATAATGATAATGATAATGATAGTGATAAAGGTAGTGGTAGTGGTAGTGGTAGTGGTAGTAGTGGTAGGGTAGTGGTGGTGGTGGTGGCGAAAGTGATAGTGGTAGTCGTCGTGATAATGATAATGATAATGATAGTGATAAAGGTAGTGGTAGTGGTAGTGGTAGTGGTAGTAGTGGTAGGGTAGTGGTGGTGGTGGTGGCGAAAGTGATAGTGGTAGTCGTCGTGATAATGATAATGATAATGATAGTGATAAAGGTAGTGGTAGTGGTAGTGGTAGTGGTAGTAGTGGTAGGGTAGTGGTGGTGGTGGTGGCGAAAGTGATAGTGGTAGTCGTCGTGATAATGATAATGATAATGATAGTGATAAAGGTAGTGGTAGTGGTAGTGGTAGTGGTAGTGGTAGTGGTAGTGGTAGTGGTAGTGGTAGTGGTAGTGGTAGTGGTAGTGGTAGTGGTAGTGGTAGTGGTAGTGGTAGTGGTAGTGGTAGTGGTAGTGGTAGTGGTAGTGGTAGTGGTAGTGGTAGTGGTAGTGGTAGTGGTAGTGGTAGTGGTAGTGGTAGTGGTAGTGGTAGTGGTAGTGGTAGTGGTAGTGGTAGTGGTAGTGGTAGTGGTAGTGGTAGTGGTAGTGGTAGTGGTAG